GGTTGCTTTACCTGAAGAGCCACATAAAGTGAGTCAGTAATGCCAAAATCACTAATGAATTATCTCTAACTCAGGTTAAAGGAGGAGAACAGGGGGCCTGTTTCCGGTATGACTCTGAGGTCAGCTACGGCGGGAGATCTTGCTAATAAACGGATCTGGGGACAAGGGGAGCCCAGAGAGATTCCTGAGCTTGACTGACTGGGGCCATCTACTGAAATGGAGAGGATAAGAGGGTGGGACCGGCTTGGTGGTTGAAGGGGCAGGGGAAACAAGTTCTGTTCCGTCTGGGGGACCTACAGCCCAAGAGGCCTCTTGATTCATGTCCAGTTTCCCATTTCATATATCAAGCTGGAGAATGGAGTGTACAACTAGACAGAGATGGCAGGCAGATACAAATTTGGGAGTCATCAGCATACAGGTAGGTGGGTTTAAAGCCAGCTGAGAGAGAGAATCTAGGAAGGTATGCATGCTGGGCACCCTCTATCACTTAAAAGGCAGAACCAGCAGAGGAGGTGGAGAGTAGAGGCCACAAGGATAACAGGAAAACCAGGAGAGCCTGGTGTCCTGGACAGTGACAGAAGACAACATTTCAGCCCTTCTGTGTTGCCGAGACATCGGTACAGTAGAGACCTGAGAGTTTACCAATGTGAGGTCGCTGGAAAGGCAACCAGCTCAGTGGAGGGGCAGGGAAAGAACCCACACTGAAGTGGACTAAAGAGTTAAAGAATTTTTTAAAAAAGTGAGTGACATTCTAAACAATGGAAGTGAGGAAGTGAAGACTGAAAGTACAGACAGATTTTCCAGACAGTTTTACCGAACCATGTAGGCAGGTAGTATCCACAGTGAAGCATTATCAGTGCAACCAGGTCAGTTCAGAGTAGAAAGAGGTGGGGGGATCAAATGAAGCATCTCAGAGGAGCCATCACCAAATCCAACAATTCAGGTGAGGTCATTGCCACAGCAACGTGTCCCTATCACAAAACTGATTCCAAACACATGTGACTGCTTATCTACTCTTAAGGCAATCCCCTTAAACAAAAATCAGTACTAACCTTGACTAATTTACATGACATCTATAAGAAATTGTTTTCTAGAAGAAAAACATTCCCAAATTATTTTCTGAAATAATCTTCATTCTGGAACATAATAATCATTTTGCATGATGTACATGCCCACCTATTGAAGACTCTTTTAAAAGAAAAGATTCACCTTTATTAAATGATTCAATCATTGCCACACTTTATAGTAAAAGGGCAAATAAGAAAGCATCACTCCTCAACCAGTCATGAAGACTCCTCCTTGGAGCTTCAGTAGGTAAGCACACAACTATCCCTCTCCCACAACACTGCTATCAAAGCTTTCAGGAGAGATATTGGCAAAAGGATATTTTTTTTCTGCCCACAAAAGCCATGTAAAGTTAATTCAGGAAAAATTGGTTTGGTCTGTTGTCTTTTGTGGTAGTGGTTCTTTTTTGTTTTATGAAAAGAGCTTTTAGGGGGGCATATTTTGATCATTTGACTAGAATCATTAGCATATTTACCAAATGTGAAGCTATTTATTACAGGTTAAGAATTCTCCTACTACATGTTTCACCCTAGCAAATAAATATAGCTGACACCATTTTACTGCAAGCTTCTAACAACAGAACACATAAGAATGGCAAACTAGTCTAGAAGGCTAGACACAAATATTTATAACAGTATTTACTTTCAGATTCAATTTATCTAACTGAATAAATTTATAACTTAAAAAATGTTAAGAAATAACATTTGTTAAATACTACATAATATAAAACAGGTTTTACGTATTACCTGTAAATAAATTATCTTTTATTCAGCTTTTTTTCCTTTTTAATTCAGTTGTGAGATTAGCAGATTACTAGATCTGACATTTGCAATTTGGTTATGTTCTATGGTCAGAAATATAACAGAAATCTTGTAACAACAGTTCTTTCAATAGAGTTCTTAAGGCATGTCTGGTGGGGACAAAGGGATTTTTGCTCATTGGGCTAGAAGGGGAGTGAAGCCAAGGTAACTAAGCAATGGATAAAGATGAGTTAATGTTATTCTTCCTGGAAATGAAAAAATAAAAATAAAACCTGAGGTTTTCTTTCATGATTTCTTTAAATAAAGATACAAGTTCATAATCCCTGATTCAAAAATCCTTGCAGACAGATAAGTTTTAAAATTCAGAATTGTTTAAATTTTAGAAAAGTAATACAAAGCAGATTCTATTAATTATCCAACTTCCTCATAATAAAACTTAAGTATTTCTGCAGGTGAAGTGATGGGATAAAGACAACCAGTGGCTTCATATCGGTTCAGGTCAAGTCTTATATATTCAATCAGCTATACAAAAACTTTCCATTTTCAGAGTCCTTAGATCTCACAATTGCAGATAAGTAACTGTGGACTCACATTTAACACAAGGTTTAAGAACATAAAGATAAGTTGAAGGAAAATAGTAGCACTCTGGAATCAAGTTCAGTTCTTCTCCGTACAAATTCCATGAATTTAGGCAAGTCATTTAACATCTATAAGCCTGAGTTTTCTTACCTGTAAAATGGAAATAATGATATCATCCCACAAGTCTGCTGTGAACCAGTGCTAACTAAGCTGGAAGACGCTTGATACCCACACCAAGTTGGGCACTGAGCAGTACAATGACCGACTATCTCAGTTTGGCTGGGACTTCCCTGGCTTTTTAGCACTGACAGTCCCACATCCTGGGAAATCAGGACAGTTGGTCACTCTACTTGTCAGGGATTCAATAAATGGAACATATTCTAATATGAAGAATAGAAATAACTAAAAGTAAAAATGCCAAGTGCAAAAATCATACAAAATAGTTTCAATAGTGAAACAGCCAGATCACTGTCCATGTTATAATCCTCTCTTTTGTGGTAGGAAGAATTCTAAAATCACATCCCCTGGTGTGCATACCCTGTGGAACCTTCTTCCCTGGAGTGGAGATGAGCACAGACTCCTCAGTAGAGCCCTTTTTCAGAGATGGAAAGTCAGAAAGTTTTTGAAGCTACAGCAGATGCTCTCCTGCTGGCCCTGAAGAAGTAAACTGCATGTTGTGGATAGAGCCACATGGCAGGGAGTGGTGAAGGCCTCTAGGACTCAAGAGCTTGTCCTACAACCATAAGGAACTGATTTCTGCCAACAACCTAAATGAGCTTGGAAGAGCACCTGAGCCTCAGAGGAGCTCACAGTTTCAGTTGGCACAATGTTTCCCAACCTTGAGCAGAGGCCCCAGATATACCATACCAGGAGCAGGACTGTGAGACCAGAAATGGGTGATGCTTTAAGCCATCAAGTCTTTGCTAACTTGTTACATACCAACAAAAAATATCTTTTAAAAGTGTATTCACTTCACGAGTACAGACACATATGTATATATGTGTCTGTAAGTACATAACCTTTGTATTACATTCAGAAGCATTTGTAAAATAATTCCTTGCATAAAACCACTGCTTTTGAAATAGAAAAAGTTCGAATTCAAAAGAAATTTCTCAGTAAATTAAACTCAGGCTGGAAAAAAGAATCTCAAAATACTCCTGGCTTTATAAGTGAAACTTTTATACATTGACCGAGGGTATAAGATGGAACCACCACTTTGGAAAACTGGCAATTTCTACTAATCCTAAATGCATGGCAACACTATGACTTAGAAATTCCATCTTATGCACGTGTAGGAGGTCCACACAAAGACGTGCACACAAGTGTTCACAGCAGCATTAGTCATAATAGCCAACAACTGGCAGCAATCCAAATGCCCATCAACAAGAGAATAAAAAAAACTATGGCATCTTCCCTCAATGGAAAACTAACATCAATTCAAACGGACAAACTAACAGTATGCAGAGCCCTCACAAGTGAGATCAGTGAAAGCCCCCATAAGAGGACCCAGAGACACTTGTGCTCAAGGAGAAGTCATTGTGTGCGATCCAGAAGACAGCCTTTACCGGAACCCTACCATGCCAGCACCCTAATCTCGGACTTTCAGCCTCCAGAACTGTGAGAAATAAATTTTTATTGTTTGTAAGCCACCCAGTTCATGGAATTTTTTAAAATAATAACCCAAATGAACTAAGACATATGCTTCAAAAATATTCTTGCTCCTTTACAATAGCTACTCAATTACCATATAATGACATTTTAAGGTGCCTGAAAAAGTTATGGATTTCTCATAAGAAAACACCAAATAAGCTAGTAAACAATGAAACATGAATATTGTCAAGTACTATACAAGTATACCTTTGCAAGAAATTATCAACCATGCTCTTCTTTTAAACACAGTGGCTAACACACATTATTCAATATGTGTTGGTTAAATGAATTTCATAGATAATGCCACTGTTCATGTTTTAAAAGTCCAGAGAAATCTATATGTACAAATACACAGCATGATAACCTCAATATAATACACCCTACAGATGTGAAAAACTATGGCTCTTGTCCAATTAATGAGTTCTTTCACTTCCAAGTATAAGAAATACAAGCCAGGTGTTAAAAATATCACCAAAGAAATGCAGATGTTGACTGTGCAAGGGAAGTGGGCATCATTTTCATTTTTCACACTGTCAGTCTTACATGGAGCAGGGACAGCTCTTTACCATGGAGATTCAGAGCAGGACAGGTTAGTTAGGATCCTCTATGCCAACTCTCCACGCTGGTCAGAAAGCGCCCTGGCCTCCCTACTGCTGGGCATCCTCTCACTGCCTGACCCCATCCAGAGAGGCAGTGGCAACAGGATGAGGAGAGCAGGGGTGGGAGGGGAAATGACTCACTCACTCAAGGAGGGACAGACCCTCCCTGAACTGCGTATGCCTTAGGATCTTTTCACTGGAGCACAGGAGACAGAACTCGTGGCATGAAAGTCTCACTTAGCAGCAAGACTTAGAAACTGAAGCAAAGGAAGTTTCAAGTCCATGGGGGGCTCAAAAAGACCACTGCAAGTAGCCAGACAAAAAGTGAAACAAAACCACAGCTCACCTCACTATTGTGGCCCCTCAGGTTGAAGTTTATTCTCTGTGGAGTACTCCTGTCCCTGCGGCAGTGGCTGGAGGTGAAAGTCACCCCGACCACTCCGCGCCCATTGCCTGTGGCCAGCCAGCCTTCCTCGTAGTAGCGTCTCCTGCACACTGGCTTCTCCTTCTCGCTCTTGGGGACGCGCCCTTTCCAGGACAGACAGAGGATGTTGGAGTCGCTGCAAAGCACAGGCCCATGTTCCACCGCTGCATACATACTTTTTCTCAATGAACTGTTTTGCTTAAAAAGTAATGCTCAATGCTGAGATATTTCAACCAATTTCTTTCATTGGTTTATTTATTTTATTTTTGTGGTTGCCTTGCGTTGCTTTTTTCCCCCTTTAATTAAGACTGACCTGAATCTAATTAGAAGGTCAGTGTTTTATAAAGATCCACCAAATGCATAGTGAAAAAATTCCTCTATAAAAGATGGATGGCAGTCTGCTAAGAAAAGGTAATGCTTAAAAAAATGGGGTCCATTTTTATTTTCAAGTCCTTAGAGGAAGAACGTGCTGATCCTTTGGGGAAAGAGCATCGTTAGTAAGTGGTGATCAGGAAACAGAGTTTTCTTCTTTTTATTCAACTTGGTTATTCTCATTCAGCCTGAGATTCCAGTTTAGTGTAATGTGATTCCAGAGACAAAGGGTTGCAAATACATAGATTTCAAGTAACTTAAGGCTTTAAGAATCCCTCTAGCTGGAATTTCTTCCTCAAAAGTTTGGATGCAGATACAGAACACACAAGATCATCTTTCTTCTGAAGCCACCCTCTAATATGTTTTCTGAACTAGACAAATTTCTGCTGCTAAAGCTGAAAAAGATTGCATAAAGGGAAAAAAAGGCACACAAACCGTGCAAAACAGACCAGAGTTTGTGCAGACAACAGTCCAATTTTTAAGAAGAAAAAAAGACTTTCTCTGCTGTTCAGAACCAGAAGCACCCCACCTCAGAGCATGGCCCTGTGTCCCCGGGGAACGCAGGGCTCCATCGGACCACTCCTCCGCCAGCCGAAGCACCCCTCAGTGCCATAGAGGCTGGAAAGAAAGGCCCTTCACTCAACAGAGGCAGGATGCTCTGAGGCTCTTAAAGTGGTCCCAGCATTTGCCGTGGGTGAGTCCTAAAGCCTCTTGCTGACAAAACACAGCCACGCTGCAGGTTTCTGTTTCTTCCGCCTGTCTCCTTCCTCACTCCCCTAATTATTTTTCCCCTTTTTTGTCCTAAAGATCAGTATTTTTTCATCTTGATGAAAAAAACTAATCTCAGAATTAAGTCCATCAAGTAATCTTTCTCTCATGGGCAAGTCTTCTTGGACTCAACAGGGAAAATAATCTCTTAAAACAAAAACACAAGCCAGAGTCAGATTCTCCCCTCACTATTTCCCTGGAGAGTGATCGTGTGTTGCCGGCGGGTGCTTTCCTGTGTGCACATTCAGAGACCGTCTCCAAACACCACACCTGTAGTCCAGGGAAAAGGAAGCTTTGCTTGGATTTTCCTTGATATTTATTTTGTAGTTATCTGTTTCAATTGGTCTTTTAAGATATTATCCTATAGATGCAGGAGAGGAAATTGGAAATAATAAATTAAAATTTCTTGAATACAGTTAACTAAAATAAGCAAAGGAATCAGTTCATTGTTCAAACTTGTCCATCACACCTGAACTTACTTTCCTCCAGCCATAACCACCGTAAGAGTTACTTTTCAGTCCAGAATTTTAAAGTCTGTCCAAATTACCAAACCAACTGTAAAACAAAAGTGCAGAAAGCACTGCACAATCACACTGCAACGTTTCAAATCACGCTTCTTTCTCAGTCACCTTCTCACTTCGTTCCTTCTTTGAACTGGAGAGGTATTTTTGAGGCTTAATCTGTGCAAATTTTTTTCTTCTTTTTGCAGACTTTCTTTACCCGTGAAGACCATATGGAAAACTGGCCACAAGTGATGTAGTTTTCTCCCCAGGCTCCTGAGCCCAGTGGTGTCGAGTTGCTCAATGTGATTCTTAAATTAATTTTCATCAGTTGTAAAACTCTCAAGTGTACACAAGAATGAGCCTGTCTTCCCGTGTAAATGTGTATGTATAGAAAGAAGGTTTTAAATATACATAGACACACATTCTTCAACTGGCACGAGAAGCATCTGTTTGCCTAGTCACTTCAGGAACCATCAGATTATTCACGGCTAGAAGGCCCTGGAGTCTTACAAATCTGTAAAACAAAAAAGGATATAAAATAAAAGAACTTTAAAATACTGAAGAATGAAGGCTCTGACAGAATAATTGTTGAAATTGCAATTGGACACCCATCTTTACACTTACATCTATCAAATGCAGTTACAGACTGCACTGATTGATAACGTTCAATAGTAAAAGGATACGCCTTACCAACTTCAAGACAACACAACACAAGGGGTCTGACTGCGCTGTACCGCTATATTACATTTATCAGTGGCTGGGCATATCTGAGTGCAATCATTACTGCTATTCTGCACCACGCAAAGACTCTGGGCCCTTAGTGTACAACTTTACCCTTCCAGAGGCCAGGGTCACTGTTTAAGCAGACATCCTCAAAAAGGAGACTCAAGAGGCTCAGGCAAGTTATCTGGATTGATTTTCTTCACTATCAGTAAAAGATATTCCCTAAAGACACAAAGCAGCAAGGGCCTTTAAAATCTCTCCATCCCTGGCATACTGGCAGGTCACAGAGCAAAGCACAGCTATTTTCTTGGCTTTAAGTTGTCTATTAGCAGTACAGTCCTAGAGAATCTATCTCTACCAAATCCATCCTGTATTCATTCCTACTGCCTGAAGTCCAGGCCGCATCACATCCCCTACAAATATCGAAAGATTCTGTCCCTAACTTCTCCATCTAAGCCCCCTTTCCAGAAGGCACTCAGAGCAACCTTTCTGAAATTAAGCAGTGATTCTCTCAGTCCCCCGGAGGGCTAGCTGAAAGAGAGCCCAGCCCCAGCCCAGAGTACTGGACACTGCGGGGCCAAAGTAGGGCCCAGGTGTTTGCATTTCTAACACGTTCCCAAGAGATGTTAATGCTGCTGGTGAGGGGACCAGGCTTTGAGAACCACTGGCCTCTGGCATCAAGTCCCAGCAAGACTCTAATATAAAAACTACTTTCCTAGTAATACTAAGACATTATTTGCTTTCTTCTCTGTGTTAACATTTGTATTAATGGTGCAAAAGCAACAATGGGTCAAACTGCCAGCTCTTTACCAGGACTCAAGGTAAGGGTACCTATTACCAGTAGTCATGGATTAAAAAAAAAAAAAAAGCCAGCTTCCTTTAAGAATATGGCCTTAAAATAGCTGTAAAAATTATTACTTTTATTAAATATTGACCCTGAGTACGTGGCTTTTTAATATTTTGTGTCCTAAAATAGTAAATACACATAAAACACTACTGCTGATTACTGAAGTACCTACCATGTTAACCCTGAGAAAAAAACCACTTGTGCTATACTGTTTATGTTATAAAATGAACTACTTGCTTTTTTCATGGAATACCATGTTTACTGGAAAAAATAAATGATAAATTATGGTTATTCTGGCTTGGGTACTTGGCAGATGTTTTCCTGAATATAAACAAAATAAGCTGGTCACTTTAAGGAAAACAACTGACAGTATTTGTTGTCAATGATAAAATCTGAGCTTTCAAGTTAAAATTAGAATTTTGGAAAACCAGCATCTGTCACTATGAGCTTAACTAGCTCCCCAAAACTTAAAGACATTCCTCATGCAACTAGGGGTGATAGTAATAAGTGTGAATTTTTGATTTTGTATTTCATATTTCATTGTGTATCAATATTTGGAAGATTCACATACTTGGTGAACCAATATTTTTCCAAATGACCAATGATTATACAAACCGTACTGGAGTAAAACATCATTTGAGGTACAAGAAAGACAAATGGATTGTAATGTAACCAAGTATAAAAAATTCATATTTCAAATTTTATATTGCAATGAACCTTTAAAAAACTACCACATGTTGAGTTTTGGTGTAGTATCAAAGAAAAATATCGATGATTATCTGGAAAGACTATTAAAATACTCCTTCCTTTTCCAATTACATATCTGTATGAGGCAGAATTTTCTTTATACACTTCAACAAAGACAAAAGATTGCAACAGACTAAATGCAAAAGCAAATATGAGAATCTAGCAATCTTTGAGTAAGTCAGACATTAAAAATAATTGCCAAAATGTAAAATAATACATTCTTAGTAAATTTTGTAATTTTACAAAAAATAGTTATTTTTTAAAAAAGTATTATTTATAACATTTAATGGGTTTATTTTTAAGTGAATTAGGGAATATTTTTAAATTTCCTACTTTTAATTTTAATATGGTAAATATCAATAGATACTTCACATAAACAAAAGCTCTGAGTCTTCAATAATTTTAAGAGGCTCTGAGACCAAAATAATTTTAATGGGCTCTGAGACCAAAAAAGTTTGAAAACCACTGAAATACACTAACTCCCTAAAATGTAAACCTTAAATACCACTTACAGTAAGGTATACAGGATAAATTTCCATAGTAAAAGCACAAAGTGTTTCATTGTGTATATATTATTATGGTTTTTAACCAAACTTTAAAAATATTTTTAAAATGACAAAGCACCATATATGCTAGACAAATACAACAGATGTTTTAAGAAAAAATGGCATGCTACTTTATGTCTAACAGATATAAAAACCTAACAACAAAAAAGATCATAGCATCCTAATTACTAAAAGACTGGTGCCAATTTTAGTGCTACCATTAATAGAAATAGGTGATGCTGGAGACTTCAATTCCCTTCTTTCTGCCTTGTTTTCTCATGAGAATGAGAAAATGAGGATGGTAACTGATTAACCGGTTTCTGAGGGATAAGAATATCATAATCAACACTAGTGGTGGGGGGACGTTTGTATAAAATGATTAAAAAACAACTACCCAATTGAAAGCAGAAACTTGAACAGATATTTGTACACCAATATTCACAGCAGCATGTTTCACAGTAGCCAAAAGTTGGAAACAACCCAAATGCCCATCAATGGATAAATCAGTAAACAAAATGTGGTGTGTGTATGTATATACGTACATGTGTGTATATATAATACATACACACACAGTGGAATATTAATGTTATTTGGCCTTAAAAAGGAATAAAATTCTCATACATGCTACCATATAGATGAACTTTAAGGACATCATGCCAAATGAAATAAGCCAGTCACAAAAAGACAAATACTGTATGATACCACTGACATGAAGGACGCAGGATAGTTGGATTCAGAGAGATGGTACATATAGAAAAAAACAGCCAGGCATGGTGGCGCATGCCTGTAGTCCCAGCTATTCAGGAGGCTGAGGCAGGAGGATTGCTTGAGCCCAGGAGATTGAGGTTGCTGTGAGCTAGGCTGATGCCACAGCACTTACTCTAGCCTGGGCAACAAAGCGAGATTCTGTCTCAAAAAAAAAAAAAAAATACAGTTAGATAGAAGGAATAAGATCTAGTATTTGGTAGCACAATAGGACAACTATATTTAACAATAATTTATTGTATATTTCAAAATAGCTAGAGGAAAAGATTTGGAATGTTCTCAACACAAAGAAATGATAAATGTTTGAGGTGATGGATATTCCCACATATTACCCAGATTTGATCATTACATATTGTATGTTTGTATCAAAATATCACATGTACCCTGTAAGTATGTACAAACATTATATATCAATAAAATCTTTTTAAAACATGGTAGAAGTGTAAATGTAGCAGTAATCACGATATCTTAATAATTAAAAGACCTATACTTGCCAGTTAAGACTATCAGATACAATAAAGGAAAAAAAGTTACATGCTCTCACAAGAGACATACCAAAAACCTAAGATCACGTTAAAAATGAAAATAAAAGTACAAGAAAAGAAGATACGCCATGTATACAAAAAAAACAAAATAAATCTGAAGTAGCTAACCAGACTACATTTTAAGGCAAAAGTAGTTATAGAATAAAGAATAAAGGGGACCATGCAGTGATAAATACCATTTACCTGGAACATATTGTGCCTCTAAACTGATAAATACCTAATAAAATAACACTGAAATACACAAATCAAAAACTGATGTGGCTATTCACATCTGATGGTGAGTTATTCACCATCAAAGCAGGAGATTTCAATCAGCAATCTTAATTACATACAGATCAAGTAAAGAAAAATAGTAAAGATCTAAAGATGTGAACATAACAAGCTTGGTTCTGATGCACACATATAGAATCTTGCATCCAATCAGAGTATGTATACTGTTCTCAGGAACACAAGAACATTAAAAAAATTTACTATGTCAAGTGACTCTCAACATATTTCAAAGCATAAATGTCATACAGACCATATTACATGACTACAAAGCTATTAAATTAAAAATCAATTACAAAAATATAAATTATAAAACCCCATATTTTGGGAAATTTTAAAAACTTAAGAAACACACTTCTAAATAACCTGTGAAATGAAAAATATCATAATGTAAAGTTTAAAACACTGGATATTAATTAAAATGCTACATATCAAAATTTGGGGGCTACAGCAAAAGCAGTATTTTATAGGGAATTCATTGCCTTAAATGCTGACATTAGAAAAGAAGAAATATTATAAATTAAGGTGCTAACATTCAAGCTAAAAAGTTAGAAAATGACACCATAAACCAAAAAATAAAGGAAGGAGATGATAAAAAAATAAAAAGAAACATTTGAGAAGCTAGACAAAGCCAAACATTCATTCTTTGCAAAAAGTAATTAAAGACACAAACCTCTGACCAAATAAAGAAGAGAGAGCAGCACAAATGAATACTAGAAATAAAAAGGGGGGTATAGCTACAGAGTTCACACAGTGAACTTTAAAATAAAATAATACTGTGAACAAATTAATGCTATAAAATTTGATAACATGAAATGGACAAATTCCTAAGAACCACAATTTAACAAAACTAACTCATGAACCAGTAGTTTACAATCATCCCACAGGCTTGGAGCAGTGGCTCACACCTGTAATCTTGCACTTTGCAAGACCAAGGCTAGGGTATCACTTGTGGCCAGGAGTTCAAGACCTGCCTGGGCAACATAGCAAGACCTCATCTCTAAAAAAAAAAAAAAAATCTCACAAAGAAAACACCAGGGCACATATTTTACAGACAAGTTCTACCAAGCATTCA